CGCCTATCATCCCTATGCCTTTGTAGAATCCTCGAATACTTCCATCACATTGCGAGGAGGGAAAGCGACAGCCTCGAAAGGCTGATGCTGACAAGATCAAAGAGAAAAGACCCAGAGGCAGTGGCCAGTTATGCTGGTTAGACCAAGTTGGTCAGACTGCTTTCAGCACTACGATACATACTGCTCAAGACAGGAAGAGGTGACGAGCTATCTCTGGCAGAATAGCTACAAATGGGATCACGACCCTTACAATTGAGGAGGAGGTAATTTATTTTTTATACGAGTATTTCTTTAATATGTACTTATGTGCTTAGTAATATACAAGTATATTTATTAGCACTGTAGTAATCATTGTACCTACAGGAAAATTATTAAAAGAAATGGTATTTTTTTCATACTGGCAATAAACAATTGGTACTTAGTAGATTGCCCACCAATTGAGCCAGTCTTGGACCTCACTAATTCCAGTACTAAAATAGAGACAAGATAAAATGAGTCCTAATAAAATAACACTGAAAATTAAGACCATAAACAATTTAAAAATCATTTAAATTGTTTATGGTCTTAAATCATTATTAACATTTATTAGTCCACTGCTGGCCATATGTAACGGAAATTCATAGAGATTATCTTGGTAAATCCCCCCGGGGTGAGTGGAACTTTTAAAACATTGTGTGGGTGGACCCAACACTGCTGGCATAAGCTAAAATAGTGGATTGCAATCGCTTACTTTCAAGCTTATACTAATAAGTTATTTTTATGTGTTGAATTTCGTCATAAGTTTTGTGACCTACCTTTACATTCCGTATACAATGTAGTATTTAAAAAAAATGTGGATTTAGTCATTCATAGTGTTATCAACATTGAACATTGTACAAAAACGCTTAAATTGGTATAAACAAAACTCGGAAAAATTATGAGCATTAGAGAAAAGTCATAAAAGTTGAAAAAAACAGCTGAAGTTTTTAAACATATTTTTTTTTACTAATCTCTGAAATTGAACCTGTTATTTTCGAACAACACTAATAATAATTTAATAGCAAGACGGTAATAAAATTGTAACTGTATAATAGTTATAACGATGCGATATAGTTTGAAACGGATATAATGAAATGCACAGTAAATGATCAATTACTATAGAACTGCACGATTAACATAATATCAGAAGTATCACAAATACACAAAATGAAATACAGTTTAATAAACCTGCAATATTTGGCATTTAAATTGCCTTTGAATTATTCTTCATTTTTAACTGACTATAAAAATATAATACACAAGAGAGGAGGTTCTCAATTCAACTGTTTTTTCTTGTATGTTTGTTAAGCGATATCGCCGTTAATTGTGGACCGATTTAAAAAAATATTTTTGTAATCGAAAGAGTATACTCCCGAGGTGGTCCCATTACCACCAAATCAAGATTTGATGACAAGATCTCAGGGAAATTGAGGGAATACCCTCGAATTTTTCAGCCCCGACAACGTGTTTTAGGTTGTTTCTATGTCTATACAGGTATTTGGTAGTCGTTATCTCATGTTGCTGAGCTAATGATATGGTCCTTGACCTTTAGGAGTTAGAGGATAACTCTTACAATAATATAATCATGTATAGACCTTTCTTTATTATTTCAAGATATTTGTTAAGTGTTTGTGTTAGGTTAAAGAGATATGTGCACAAGAAAGTAATAAAAGAGATTACAAAATATTTATTTAACAAAAAATGTTTGTCACGTAATTATCTTCATGTTTGTTACCTTGAAACTCTTTCATTTGTAAACCGTCTTTCATTTAAAAAATACTTGATTTATTTCGAAGGGTATTTTTTCTTCACATTTGAATGGAATTGAAGAGGAAATCCCTTTGGCTCCATTACAATTTGAAAAAATGCCACTTCTAATAGTGGAAAATTAAGTAATGTGGAAAACAATACATTTTTGGGTTCAAATTTAACATCTTCTACTTCAAACAGAATAGAAGCTATCTATTGCTATTATAATGTTACCTGTTATATTGAAGGTCGCACTTATTTTGGGTTTTTAAATTAGATTTGTAATTATTCTCATTTACACGCTTTTTATTAGCTTCACCTGAATGTTTGTTTGTTTGTAACCGACTCCTTTGGGGGTGATTTTGAGATTTCGTTCAAACTTTGTAGATATATCGAGTATATATACACTAATTTAAAATAAAAAATAGTTTTATTTAGTTTTTTGAAACTATTATCATTTAATTTTCAGTGCTCTTTGTTACCTAGTATTGTTTGAAGTCGTTTCAACTTTTTTAAGAAGGATTTGTTTATGAAACTGTCTTATGTTCACAAAAGCAAGAGATTGATTAAGGTATAGTATTTTAGAAAAATCAATAATGTAGTGTTAGAACTATGTTATTTTTTTTTTTAAATTTTGAATACACTTTATATGTTGGCAGCATTGCGTTTGGTACGCCATCTAGTCAGAGATTATTAAACACCTTGGCGCGCGGGCGGAGCGCTCACCTTCAAAACTTTGTACTGTCAAGAAGTTCTAAAACCGGCTTAAAGATTTAAATTAGTACTACAACATTACTAATAACTACCTCCAATTGTGTTCAATTGATTCAAAGTATTCAAACAAGTAGTAGTTAACAGTAGGAAACCAAACAAAAAGGCACATTCAAAGTGCAATAACTATTACTTAAAAATACTAGCATTGTTGTTTTTTAAATAACAGTTTACTTTTATAACCTACTTCGTATGAGCGCATAAACTCTCATAAAATACATTCTTCGGAATTTTACAACAGCCTAGATGATAGAAGCGATTTGAATACGTAACGTCATCGTTAATTACTGAAGTGAAGACTTCCTGGAGCATAATAACTACTTATGTAAGAAAATATACATTATATTGATATTTAGCAAATTTCTTCTTATACTCCATAATAATATTAGATATTTTTTGTCAGCTCAGCCTTTAGAGTTTTGGAAAGAATATTTATACCATATTATGGAGAAGTGGAGCTCATGATAATGTCAAAGGAGAACTGGACAATCAAACAGCAGCTGACATTAGGTTATTGTAACATAGGTAAATTTTAATCTGACTAAATTAAAATCGAGGAGTATTACTTTATTGCTTAAAATTAACTCCAAGATACCAGGTTCTCCATTTCATGCCTTGTTTGTTGCGCGATATCTTCGATCGGACAGATTTCAATAATTTCTTTTTTTTTGTAGAATTATTTTTACTTAAATCAGTAATACCGAGGGTTTTCATTCTATTAAGTTATTCCAATTTTCATCGATTTAGGCGCAGTGAGGTCACTTAGGCACGTAGGCTTCTTAAACTTACTTTTAGACTTCCTTTTATCAAAGAAAACCTAACGGACAAAATTAGCATTAAGACGGTTTTTTTTATTAATTAGCATTAAGGACATCAGGATATTAGGACGGTTAAGTAGGTTATATTTAAAATGTACAGTAACAAAGGACCCAAATTATAATGTTTAGTTTCTCATCCTGTCAGATTACGAGAATGTTGCCCGAGGTTTACATTGCTTTTTTTTAGATTAGCTCTAACATAATCTCTACTTCAATTGAATTACCCTCCAACTAGTACCTTTAAATCCTGTACTAGCCTATCACACAACGCACCATTACGTCACAATTACATAGATGTTTTTTTTTAAATGGCAATACAAAATATTTCACTACTATAAATCAACTCAACCTACAATCAACCAATAATAGACTACAGACATTATCAAACTTACAATCGCTTAATGATGCCGGTCCATAATACTCAAATGTAATTTTGTAGTAGTGAAGTAACTTCAATATCGAGAATTAGAAACGATTACGGGATTAATTATGTTATTCAAGTCTATCTTATTTGAGATGGTTACAGAAAAAAAAACTCAAAAAACGTCCGTGGATAGCTATAAATAAAAGGAGTGGTGAGAATCGTTTTAAAATCTCTTAAGCTGTAGGTAATCTATCAGTAACTAATTAAACGTGCATCAAGATGAGAACCGTATGAGATAAAGTTATACTTCCTCATCGAATACATATTTTTAATGTAGCAATCTCGAGGCTGATGAAAAGGAATCATGTGAACCAGAGCTAGTAATTGGGTGCACCAGAGCGTCGCTGGTAAATTGATATGGCAAGCTAGCGGTTTTAGATCGGCGCATGCATCTACGCCCTTCGATATGTATAGCTTTTTGATGTACAAGTTCATCGTTACGGCAATCGAATGACGCTTCTGGGCGTAGATCGATCCAACCATGTTTCTATGCACGATGTTGCAACAGTTACAGTTACTGGACACGAGTGATATTATCTTATTTATGGTAATTGAACTAAATGTTCTTCTTGCTTTGATGGTACCTACTTGAGGGACGTGAGTGAAGGAAATTATTGGGTTAAATCGCTTGTGTTTGACGCCTGTGTTTAAGTAATTGTATGCACTTCATTGATCGAACTAAACGTCTCAATGTAGACAGAAACAGAACATAATAGTGGAAGAGGATTTATATATTTTTATTTAAGAAACTCAGTTGTCAAATAGTTACACTCATATTAAGCGTATACTGGAATCATTCATTTTCCTAATTCTATTAAGCTTTTCGTTGGCTGCTCCGATTTGATCAGAAATAGATTGTGCTATTAAAAAAAGTATTCTAATTCATAAATGATATTTCATTTCATAATATTTTCAGGTAAAAAAAATATTATGAAAAAAAGACCTTTCCATTAACTTTAATACAATATATTTTTAGATATTGACTTTTATAAACACATTTTTTGTAATGAGAAGTAAAAATTTATTATTTTGTATTCGTTTTAGTATCTACGCATTTGCTTATTTTATTATGCAAAAAATATGTACAAAATTAGTTTAGTATTACTCAATGAATTACATACCTATATCTAAATCTTAGTACTAATCGCATGTTCTGTTTCTATGATTATTCAGAAACTGCAAGGACCCTTAGTAGTTATAACAATAAAAACGAAGCTTACCATAATATTTATTACGATGAATAATCGAAAGAGCATCAAGGGACTCGACTGTAAAGCCATTATTCACAGGATACACATAAACTTTTGATTTTAAATATGTTGATTTTATGTGGTTACTTTTCTACGAGCGCGAGCTTTCTTTCCCGCCAAATGTTACTTGGAGTGAACACTGCGCGCGGCTGTTTGCTGACACTAAACCCGCCAAACTGAAGCAAGCCGTAAGCACCGTGAGAGAGCTTCGCGAACCGTCTCTGTATGGCCCACTCCACTAGAGGGAGAAATGGCGGGAGTTGCGGGAGGGACGATCTTGTAGGGGAAACCGCGTCAACCGCCTCCGGTAATTCACTAAGAAAAGTTATTTGACGATTCGTAGCATAGGGGATCTCTGTTGTAATAGAAAAATGAAAACGATTTGTAATGTAAATAGGCGATTTGGAATATAGCAAATTCAATATTGATAATACTATTTTTAGTGAAGAGAATAATCAATAGCCTAAATATTTTTTTCGTAAGGCCTCCACCGTCTGTTTCGTTCTCATAATACCTTTGATATAATTATAAAATGTATAACTAAACGAGTTCTAAAGTTATAAACTAGAATGGACACCAAATTTTCTGAATTGTGGAATATACATTGAAACAAAATAAAAATATTTCTCTATTTTATTTTGTATATAATTAGTAAGTTAGTAAAAAAGCATGCGGTCTGCTTGATGTTAAGTCTAAGCTTGATTAAAAATATAATAATTTATTTCATAACATTTTCTTAGATCCCAACCCAGGTTTGTAAAGGTTCTATGACCTTATCTAAAATGCATCAATATTTTACGGCTCCGTGGCGATTTCCTAAATTAATTCACATTAATATTAATTCACATAAAACCTGTAATAGTTTTTGTATTAATTACGTTAGTAAGTACAAATTTAATTACCTCAAAAGACGCCTAACAGGTATTAACATCCATTAAAAATGTTTCTATTTAAGACAGTGCACAAAAAACGTAGGCAAACCGTTACTAATTTAAGACTGCAACGAATACGTATTTATTTATCTGTTTTGTTTATATGGTCTTATTCCACAACCTTCTGACCAATGTTAATAAGGGGGTTTGTGTGTATTTTTATACTTTTAAAAGATTCTAACTGTTATTATGTCACCCAAAAACAATAACATAGAAAAAATATATATAATATGGTAAAAATCTTATTACTACAACACTTTCGTGCGATTAAAACGCTTCCCTACTTTTTAATTTATTTATTATAGTAGTAAAATTTACTTAATATTATTTTGAAGTCTTGTAACGTAATTATGAGTTCTAATTGTTTTCTATATCTATAAAAGAAGAAACTGACAGACTGAAACCGCGTTGGGTCTAAAAACATAAAATTTTGCACAAATTTTCCGTAGGTGTGTACTAAGAAAGGATTTTAAAAATTAAGGGTTCATAATAAGGGTTAGAAATGTATATGTAACTTCTTATCTATCTTCTTCTATTAACTTATTTTGCCAAATTTTTGACAGTTACGCAAGTGAAGTGATAGGAAAAAGCTAGTTTAACATATTGACACCATTTTATACTGATCGTATTGATATTAGACATCTTTATCTATACAAATGTAAATAAATAAAATTGAAGTGTCTAATTGAAGCCTTTAATTTTGATATCATATATCAAAATTAAAAGCTTTTTTCATGCTCACACGGTTTTTTGCGATACCTATGCCTAAATACCGGTTTTTTTGTTGTCTGTCTCTCTGTATTTTTGTTCCGGGTAATCTTCTAAACGACTGGACCGATTTCGATAATATTTTACTACCAGGTAACTCTCTTCATAAGGAATAACTTAGGCTATTTTTCCTCTCAAAAAAACCCTTTAAAATTTTGCCGGGTTCGGGCATCAAACCCACTAAGGCAGCGCTTTTCAAATTTTTCGAAATCATGTAAAATATGTATGAAGTAGTTCGTATTTGAAGTTCACCCTGTCCAAAATCATTTTACCAATTATAACTACAATTGGTTCTACTCGTACTACGCTCTCCTCTTCAATAATTCGTAACCATTACTTATCAATTTTTATATCTACCAAGACTAGACAGATATAACAGAAGACAGTGGTGGATTATCCCTTAGGCAAAGTAGGCACGTGCCTAGGGGCGCGAGGTAACTAAGGGGCGCGCGCGCAGATTTTTTCAAGAAAGAGGACTGTGTCAGTAAGTGGCACACAATTATACAATATAAACGATTCTTTAATGTTGTAGAGATGTGTAAGGTTGACATCTAAGGTCTATATTACGTAATTGCCACTACTTTTTGGATTTTCTTTTCTGACCTACGAAAATGAAGGCTAGTAAATGTACATAAAAATGCAGTTGCTACAACTGTAATTGTAATTAGGATTACTCTATTAGTTGTAGTAATAGACCAGGGATGTCCAGGTAATGACACTCTACGGTGCATCGATGTGGGTTGAAGCTCTGACCGCCCACAATAAAGCGCGCCTCTAGTACCCTCAGAATGGTGGCGGAACTTTCTCATGGGATTTAGAGACGACATCCCGGCTGGAGGCTCCACGTACTGGTTTTTTTTAAGGAAGAGGCGGCAAATCAGCAGACGGGTCATCTGATGGAAAGTGACTACCGCCGCCCATGAACGCCTGCAACTCAGGAGTCACTAACGAGTTGTCCGCCTTTGAGAAAGGAGTACGGTATTTTCTTGAAGTTTTGAAGGTCGTATCGGTCCGGAAATACCGCAAATACCGCAGAGATAAAATCACAAGATTGCTTCAACAGCAGTCCGATGTCTATAATTACCTCATAGACGAATGGCAACAATGCTGGGATGAACCATCTAACGGGCGCCACCTTTACCAGTTCTTATCATCTGTTCACGAACGGTTGTCGAGGACATGGCTAGAGATAGATCACTGTGTCACTCAATTTGTTACAAGTTAAACTTTAAGAGCAAACTGTATTCACTTAAATTAGTCGAGTCACCATTGTGTCAATGCTCAACACCTAACTCTAACTGTGAACAGTCTGCTCATCATATCCTATGCGAATGTAGTCTTTGGTATAATGAACATAATATAATGCTGAATAGCTTACAGGTGACATCTGGTGCGGTATAATAAGGGAATGTTGTGTCAACTAGCTTGAATTTCCGTGCGTTTAAGCAATTCTGCCATATATATTATAGAAATCAAATAGCTCACTTTGGACCCATAATAAACTAATAAACTATAAACTTCCCGAGTGTCATAACTCGGTATGTTCGTGGGTCACTGCTGTTGATGTACAGGAGTTACAGTGGTGGGAGTGTGGGAGGGATATTCCAAAAGGTGAGGCAATCTGTCACAAAAACAAAAAGAAAGGTCCAGACGTTTTAATTAAAGCTTTTATCGGACCCCTCCTATTTCAGGTGCAGTTTATTTACTGTGTGCTTTTAGTCGGTTCGATTCCAATTCACCGCCGCCAATAAACCCCGGTGGGGTAACGGCCCATGGAGGTTTCCAAACGAAAAAAACAGGAAGTAAAGAAATGCCAACTAAAATTGGGAGTCCAATTATTTCGTTTTCAACAGGGCCCCAAATTCTTGTGTGCCTGGTGGCCCCGGCATGGCCAAAGACGGCCTTGCATAGGTTTAGTGTAGCAAGCCTACCATTCGCTCATGTACATACATGCATCGCTAAGTCCTAAGTTTTTTCCAGTAGAAAAAGAGACTGATAAGAACTGCAATCGCGACGTGTTATGCGTTGGCAGCCCCCATTTTTGTGTATGGGTGGCGATTCCAATACTTAACTCAGCTTATATTTACAAACTTAGGATGAGTTTCGTAAGCGTAAAAGAGCTTTATTTATAGATATGGAAACAAACAGAAAGAGGACAAAAGGTGCATAGCGTGTTAAAGTACCTATCTGACAAGAAGAGGCATCATTAAAGCAAAAACATATTAGAGGTTAGGCATACTAACTCACTTTTAAAGGTTCATCTTATTAGTCTTTATAGTTACATAATATATGTTAGATTTTATTTTCATTTGTTATATTTGTATGAAAAATTTAAAATATTTTTTTTATTTTAGATAATCAAATTACTGGACCTTTTTAAAAAAAAAATATATGATGAATCAGTTTTTTAATTGCTTTTCTAATGAGTGTTGAAACACCATTTAGGAAGAGCTGTCTACCCTTGCTACTAGTATTGTTCTTCGTCGCATCTTAAGATTTGGATTATTCATATCAAATTAGATCCCATTACAGTGACTGTGTGTGTAGTGTAGGTTTCCTGTTTTGTCAGCATCAAGTAAAATATTTTTTTTATTGTATAAGGGGGCAAACGAGCAGACGGGTCACCTGATGGTAAGCAACTACCGCCGCCCATGGACACCTGTAACTCAAAAGTCACAAGTGCGTCGCTGCCCTTGGAGTCCCTCCCGCTCGAGTCAGCGGGAGGGGGGATTTGGGCTCCGGTAACCTCACTCGGTAATTTCAGGATAATAAACACAAAGATACTGTAAATATTTTTTGTTCTGACAGTTAAGTAGGTATCTACCTAATACTTGCGAAAAAAATTAATTCGCTACGCATTATGTTTCAGAATTTTATAAAATTATATATAATAGACCTACTTATGCATCACTATATGAAACCTACCCACTCTTAGCTTTATGAAACTAATGAACAATACAATGCAATTTTAATTATCATATGATTGCATGCATCATCATCGTAAAAAGCATCATCACCATAAAAATAAGCTTTGCCTAGACATAAAAAAAAAACAAAACTAATCTTGAAAGCTCACGAATTTACAAGCTAGTTATATTTGCAAGCTCTTTTTTGTCCCCAAAATCAGCAAACGATGACACAAGATTACAATCATGATTTCAGTAACATAATGCCAGTAGAGTGTGTATTATATTCCTAATAGTTCTCGCGACTGTGTTGTGCTGAAAGGTCTAAAATGGATGTCGGTTTAAAAATATATAGCAAGATCTAAGAAATATTGTAGGTGCCTACATACAAGATTTTACTGTAAGCTTGCAGAAGTTACTCTGC